TCTAGATTATACGGGCAATTTAAACATAAGAACCTTTATTCTTCAGCAAAGATATCCATAGGATTAGATCCATAGGCACTAACTCCGGCGGCCTCGACGGCCAACGGTTGGGAACTTGGTTAGTTATTCAATTATTCATGAAATTCGCTGCAAAAATTCTCTGACTTCAGCGTTCTGAGGCGATGCCTCGACTTGCTGGAAAAATATATTTTCGAGTTCCATTAGGGGCATATCATCAATAAGGGGTCCAAAACCTACTAGTTAAAAGTGGCGAACTTTTAAAAATTCTGTATTTCGAAGGGGACTATAACAATATATCAAGTGTGCTATATTTTTGGAAAAGTTCTTTTCAGTTAATTAAAAATACGTATCCAATATATATACGTGTCCCAAATAAAAAATCAATTTTTCTGTTGATAACTCCTAAATTATTAATTTTAAAAAAATTATACTTAAACCATTAAATTCTACGTAAAAAGTTGCTTTGAAAATGTTCTCATAGAAATACAAAATTTTCCATAGCAAAAAAGTTCCAGCGATTTTTTAAAAATGCGCATTTTTGAAAAACACCCCGTAACTCCGAAACGGTAATAGATATCGATATGCGGTTTTCACCATTATGTTTTTGACAAAAATTGAACTCCAGACACCATATTTGTTTTTGTATCTATCTCCTATAGAAAAGGGTGTTTCCATTTAAAAGCGTCGAATTTGACTCACCCTGTACAATTTATATCATTACGAAAGTTTTATTTTAAAAACTTGTGTCTTTTGAAAAAGGTAATAGATTTAATTAAGAGGTGAAAGAATAAATAAATATCAGCAAAATTTTAACAGAGCTGGTACAAATGTAAGAACTTGACAACGCGGTTTCCGATACGGTTCAGTCCGTCCGCCAAAAAAATGTATGGAAGGAAAGGATATGAAACGGAAGGTAAACGGAACGGATAGTGTGTATTGTCCTATTCATTTACATGATATAATATTTTATGTAAACGGAAGGGAAACGGAAGGGAGCTGATATGGAAGGTACAGTGAGAATCAACCTTTAAGAAGACCCGCCTCTTTAAAAAGAAACATATTTCTTTAAATTCAACACATTTAGTTTTAAGACACTCTGTATAGATAAATAGAGCTGAAACAAGTCGGTTTTAAAAACACTTAAGTCTTAAGTCATTTCTAAAATCAAAATGATTTAATTATTAAGTCAAATTCAACATAAAATTTAAATGATTTAAGTCTTTGACTTAAATCATTTTATTTTAAGTCAAGTTATTTTTGTAAAGAATTAAATCAATATAACGTTAATTAAGTCGTTTTTATGACTTAAGTCTATATTTTGGACTTAAATCAAGATAATCTGCAAGTTAAGTCAGTAAAATAACTTAAATCAATATAATTACCCTCAAGTCAAGACAACCAGAATTCTATTTAAGTACCTACCTTTTATTTAAATGTTAATATTAATTTTGTTGTATTGCCTGTTGAGACTAAAACCACATAAAATAAAGCTGGTAATTTTCAGAACAAATATAAACACAAAAGTTTTTTTATTATTAAAATTTAACCGATTTTGTATCCATTACAGTTTAGATGGCATCGAACACATGTCTATTAAAAAGTGGTGATGTGTTTTGATCACTATTTAATATGTCGATATCGATGGCATAATCTAAGGGCTGAAGGATTTTAAGATACTACTCCTCAATATATTCGAAATTTCTTTCGCTCGTCTTTCGGGCTACATAACGGAGTCGGGGATTCACTTGAAAGACAACAGACAACAGACTCACTAGGCACGCGTAACAGGATAAATAATCAAAACCGGTTCCGAAAAACTAACATTTTATTGTGCTGCTTGGCTGCCGCCTAAAACTCCGCGCGCACTGAAGGGGTATCGGCGAGAGCGAGCGGCGCGAGCGGCACGACCGGTCGGAAAGTCGATTGTAGCCGCGCACTGGAGTCGCACGATCGACGGTCGAGAGTACATCACCAGCATAAATTTGAGCTTAGACGAGGAGAAGTTTATTCAAATTTAGTCAAATTCGTTCGGCATTTCAAAAAATTATAAAGTATTATTACTATTTATATTTTTATGCAACATTTTATATTTTATGCTTTATGATGGAAATTAATATTATTTAGATCTTAACCAAACACACATTAATATATTTAGACCTTAACAAAGCACATAAAATTAGTGAAATAGAGTGGAAGATGGGGATAAAATATACTACATGACTCTTAGCTTAGGTAACCGATTTTAACAAATTTGGTATCATTCAAAAGGGTTTAATTTGTTCTTTAAAATAAGTCAAATCAAACTTCTATTTTTAGTTTTTTAATCTAAATAAGTGTACTTATTTACAAACATTTATATATAGCTTTTATTTTAAGTTTTTAAAATCTTTGTTTTAAGTCAGTAGTAAATAAAACAAATCATGTGTTTACATTTTGTTTAATGATTGACGTTTCGACCAATTTTAATTCGGTCTTCTTCAGAATCTTCTTCAGAATTTGTGGTAAGAAAAATTATATATTAAACACATTGTTAGTGATAAAATAGTATTGTATATTATAGATTCTGAAGAAGACCGAATTAAAATTGGTCGAAACGTCAATCATTAAACAAAATGTAAACAAAAGTTTCGTTTTATTTACTACTGACTTAAAACCAAGATTTTAAAACCTTAAAATATAACAAAAAAGTCAAAAAAATTAAAAAAAGAAAAAATATATAGTTTTTGTTTTATAGTACCGTATGGTCGAAAGGAAACGGCATCAGCGATGGCCATGAAATGAAGGTCGGTGTCATTTTATATGTAAATTTATATGGGAAATGTCATCAATCTTCATTTCCCATCCAACTAGACGCCGGCGCCGTTTGTTTATCATACGGTAGATATATGTACAAATATTTTATTTAAACATAAATATTATTTTCTCTATTTCTACCTTGTACGGAGCGATCAACATAGTAACATTATTTATCAGCCGTTATTACTAACGTCAAAACAAACCAAAAATTAAATAATATGATAAGTTTTTTGACGATATTTAAATTAGATTTCCATAATAATGTAAGAAAATCAAAACGAGATGAGAAATAAATGGGTTTAATCGGAAGGTTTTCTAATTCAGTTATTGAATAAGTGTATTAAACAATATGGGTTACATGCTTGTAAGAATTTTTTATAAAAAGCCGCATATTAAGTATGATATGGTCTCGAACACTTTCGATTAATAATTCATCGGAAATGTTTAATGTAAAACCGCTCCACTAAAAACAGTCGCTTGGCGTAGACTATTCGTCCCCCTCCCATGCATTCTCTGATTTCGCCTAATGGCGCCGATAGCTCGAATGGCGCCGATAGCTCGAATGGCGCCGATAGCTCGAATGGCGCCGATAGCTCGAAGCGCACCGATCTAATGTGGTGCGCGGGCTTACATTTATTTTAACGTAAATTGAAAATTACGTGCCGCTCGCTCGCGCCGATACCCATTCAGTGCGCGCCCTCCTTAACAGTTTAAAAAGAAATGCTGCTGTTAAAAATTTATCATAGGTGTATATAAAAATCTGACCTAAGTCTTTTATAAAAAGACTTATTGAAAAAAGACTGATTTGAAAAACGGTAAAGAGAAAATATGTTTCTTTTATCGAGATCTACAAGTCCTTTCATTTAAGCTGTCTACATCACTGTCTTATGCGTTAAAATCCAGACCACGCAATTTCGATAATCAGATCGGTGTATTTGAAGATTCCATTTACATTAGGATAATTTAATATGAGTCAGTCTATAAAAACTGCGCTTTGTAAGAATACGAAAAATACTTATTATTCAAGAAGAAGTCATAATAAGATAGAAACGATTAGTTTATTCTAAAATCCACCATATATCACATTACTATAATATGAATGTATTAGGTATATCTAATAATTAAGATATCAATGACAGTGAATAAGAAACGACACCTCAGTGAAGGCATGGTAGGTAGGCTTTGAAAAAAAGTTGCTTTTGATGTAATGGTATAAACGCCAAAGTGTTATTAGATCAACATTTTGATTATCTTAGCAGCGTTTTTTCTCTGTTGAAGAAAATCAATCAAAAAGATAAAAAACGCTGCTCAGACTATCAAAATGTTGATATAATAATATTTAGATGTTTAAACTACCCTTTTAAAACCAACTTGAACCCCCATGAATTCACTGAGGCGTCGTTTCTTGTTCACTGTCATTGATGTCTTCATTATTAGACATTAATACCTACACCTAGAATTATGGTATTCTGGTACATTTTCGATTTTTTGAATAAAATAACCCTTTTTATCTTATTTTTTATTAGAATGGTCATAATCAAGAGGGCTAATTTTGCTAATAACTTTGGTTTGAAAAAAGATATCAAGATCCGGTTTTCTCTGTCTTTCGTTTATTACTCTTAAGTATCACATAAAAGTACATATACTATCGCATTTAATTTTTTTGAAAAAACGCGTAATGTTTGTTAATTTGATATAACCCGCCCTAGCGTCTACGTTCAAAAGCTTAGTTTTATTGTTTATGTGATATTATATAGAGTAAAAAACTCTCTTTTAAATGGGCTCTCATATGTTGGATTCCGATCATCCAGAGAGTCCGGAGTTATTAACATTTAAACAATGACAGATCTAACCTTCCCCACCACTTTATTTTAGCAGATAGGTGAAAATGGTTCTAACAAAAAAATCCAAAATTTACTGAAGAATATGAAGCTGTTATTTATAGTACCTCTAGGCAAAATTCTGTAAAACTTCTTATTTTCTTATTTTTCGTAACAGTTGCGCCCTCTAGCGGCCGTTCTACAAATTTGAAAATAATTTCCAGCAATTTCTCATAGCCTTTTTAGTTATAAATATTTTTCCGTAGGCCCTACGGTTAATACTTTCCGAGATACAGTCGAGAGCTATCCTTAGTGGGACACCCTGTACAATTTCAGTGAAAATAAATACATTTTTTCTTTCAGATTAATGGAGCATGTGCGGCATTAGCAAGTGTCTTTCCGGACATTCTCCCCGTTGAAGTGAATGTGTTTTTTGAATCAGCTGGTGCAAAACAGACATGATATTGTCGACGACATGAAATCAAGTCTCTTGGATCTAGCGAAATGGATAAAGCTAACCGTGCTCTTTGTCCTAGTAGCCTCATCAATAGGTAAGTCTGTCAGTTATGATTTTTGAGGCGGTTTTATGGACGATAAGAAAAATTTTACCAGGCCTTGTCCCGTAAGAAATATTTACCGGATTTAAGAATCTATGGAAAATCTATGTTTGTCGGAATTATGATGTAACCTGATATTAATTAGTTAAAATAAAAGATACTACCACAGATTAGGTATCCTATAAGTATACAGATGAAAATCTTGTCCCTAATTCGTGGTACGAAAATTGCTTTTTATGACGATGTGCAAACGAGTCAAATTTTCTGTGCGCAAAAATAAACTCGCGTAAAATAACAATAAACAGCTTAATAGAGAGATATCGCTAAACCGAATAGCGTGCATGGACGTTAATAAGGCCAGGTGTTATTTCCTTGACGTGAGGTGGTATTAACTCTCTTCATTTATAGTTATCGGATCGGAAAGAATTCTGATCGCGTCGCGTCCGTTATTTAAACTTGACCTAACTTTGAATTTAAAACTTTGAAATTGTTTTGTTTATTAGGTATTTTAAAACTAAAGGGCTAAAGTGCTTATATCCAGTGCTTTATTGTTCAACGTCTGCCAATGGGTTTAGGACAACAAGCAACAAATTCTCTTAGAATCATCGCTGTAAACCTAAGACTCTTTATAGGTTCTTTAGTATTGGAAGAGGTGGAATCCATATGTTGGGCCATATTTATTTAATTAAAACTAATCCCAGCTATTTAAATATCAAATTACCTAATAAAACTAAAGCATTAATTCAAAACAATTCAAACATAACCTAAAGTAAAAGATCTCGCCGGCCGGCTCCGGTTGTCAAATACCCGCACATGCCCATTTACGCAATTTTTAAACGTTATCAGAGGTTATTTAGAAAGAGCGCTTGGTGTATCAAAAAATCACGTCAGGCGGTAACGTTATTAGCGGGTTTTGCGTTGACTCGCGCATATCGTAACCACGTCGTCATTATAAGCAGGGTTCGGAAAACTACATGTTACTTTTAAAAACTACATAAACTACATTACATGTAGTTAATGTAGTTTATGTAGAGGGTGTAGTTTATGTAAATTATGTATGTAACTTTCAAATATCAAAGGTTTGAGGTGAGGTTATAATAAGTTGAAGCTTTAAAAACACATAATGTATTTAAGAAAACAGAAGAAATATGGCTTTAAATATAATGTTTACATCATATTATCTCTATTATACCTCATACAAAGGAAAATTATTCATAATATCAATACATAGTTTATTAACGTAGTTTTCATGTAGTTAATGAACGGGAAAAGACGTAGTTTTTCCACAAGAAGTATCATTTTTTTTCCTAATAAAATAATACAAAAATTGTTTTTATTAGGAGTAAAAATTACACTTTTTGCGGCGAAGCTGTACGTGAGCGTTAGCGAGTCCTACGTTACAAGCGAGGCACATAAAGTCATTTTTACTCCGAATAGAACATGTTATTTTTTTTTCAAGCGTCACAAATATTTTTTTAAACAATTTTAAACATTTGAAATAATATAATAGATATTTACGATACAACTGAGTTAACAGCATCATTATCTTAATGGAGTTATCTCGTCTGTATTGTACAATATTTTATCTACGTCTAACTATAAAAACAGACAATACATTTTAAAAATTATTGTACTTAATTATATACCTATCCTAAAAATCAATTACCTTAATACCTTTGTTCAAATAACACCATGCATGGCAATGTCAATATGACAGTAAATAATATTGATGTCACTAGTTTAAAAAATGAAGAGCGATTCGGAAAGTATTCCCTCTGACATTGAAGAAGAGGCATTCAGAACCATTTCTGGATTGCTTCGAGCAAGATCGAAACAGAAGTATGAATATACATACTCTAAGTATGAAAAATGGTGCACCGAAAAAAAAGTACACAACTATGGAAATGAAAAGGTACTCATAACATGTTTTTCTAATTTAGTGCAAAATAAATGTTTTACAAAATATTTTTTTCTCTTTGGTAGTCATCTAAACAAGGAGTGCGGTAATGAAAATGCGTGAGTTAAGAAGCTCATGACTCACTGACGTAGATAAAAAGAATTAATGTAACTAACTTGTATGTAACTAAAACTCTGGTTACGCTCGTTGAATTTGACACTTTATGTCAATATTTATGTAAAAATTCATACTTTGTGACGTTTTAAAAAAATAATTATTCCTACAACACTGCTATATTATTGCTGAAGTTTCCTCTTTCGACAAACTCATAAAATCATTCGACTACATGTAATTTTCAAAGCGATTTCGGAAAAAGTATATGTATTCCCTAAGTACACTTGTCCATTTCCCCCAAGATGCTGCCGGAACTGGGTCAAAAGTGCACTCGCCTATTAGAAATATACTTTAGAACTTGTAAATACCCGTCTCGTGTAGGATTTTACGGGCAATATTCTTTAAAAGCATCGGACAAGTAAACGAAACCTCAAAAATAAAATCGGACGAGATGTTCGGTCCTCGGAAACGTCAAGTTCTGTCCCAAATGGATCGAACGGAGTTGAAATGTCAGATGTAATGCCGTGGACCGAAGGGGGTTTCCAGGGAGAAATCTATACTAATATATAAAATCCTTAAGTGACTGACATACTGATTAATCACGATCCTGCTCAAACCACTCAACGTAAGAAGCTCAATTTTGGCATACAGGTTGATTCGAGGCTGTAGAGGTTCGATAAGAAGGGATTTTTCGAAATTCCAGTTCCAAGAGGGTGAAACCACCCCTTAAATATTACAATATTTTTTATTTAAAAAACGGTCAAGTTTCCGAAAAAACGCTTAAACACGTATATTTTATTTTGTTTTTTTACATATTTTAAGATTTTTTAAAAATGTATACAGGGTGTTTCGAAAAATCTGGTTATTGATTAATCACGATGCTGCTTAAAGCGCTTGACGTAAAAAGCTGATTTTTAGAAAGCAGATTGACTTTAGGGTGTAGAGGTTCGATAAGAAGGGATTTTTCGAAACTCGAATTCTAAGGGGGTGAAACTATCCCTCAAATATTACAATATTTTTTTATTTAAAAACCGGTGAGTTTTTCGGAAAAACTTTTAAATACGTATATTTTATTTTGTTTGGTTTGGTTATAAATTTATACAGGGTGTTTCATAAAAAATGACCATTGAGTAATCACGATTCTGCTTAAACTGCTTGACGTTTAAATTTGATTTTTGGCAAACGGATTGACTGTGGGGTGTAGAGGTTCGATAAGGAGGGGTTTCTCGAATCTCAAATTCCAAGAGGGTGAAAACGCCCCTCAAATATTACAATATTTGTTATTTAAAAAACGGTTAGTCTTTCGGGAAAACGCTTGGACAAGCATAATTTATTTGGTTTTTTTACATATTTTGAAATTTTTTAAAAACTCATACAGGGTGTTCCAAAAAGTTGGGTAATTTCTTAACCACGATTCTGCTTAAACTGCTTGACATAAAAAGCTTATTTTTGGCAAACGGATTTTTCGAAAGTCAAATTCCAACGAGATTAAACTACCCCTCAAATATTACCAAGTTATATAATAATATCGCCATATTGTTTTTTCTCATGCTGACATAAATGTGAGAAAATTTTATTCAGTTTGTATGTTAATGGAAATTCTTGCTTTGCTTTATCATCATTACAAATGATTAATTCGACGCGAACGAAGTCGCTGGTATACGCTAGTTTATTAATAAAAAGAGACTGTAAGCTTGTATAGTAAACTAACATATTGGTAATTCAATTATTACTCTAATGTTTTTAACTAATGTTCGAATTTTTTTTAAATTTGGATTTTTAGAAAAAAGCACCTGCTCTACCTTTCTAAAATATTTTTAGCATTACACTGTTGCCGCATCATTCCAAAACTAGTAACATCTTCCTTATTTTAAATAGAACACACGGTATATTATTACATTTTTGGAAACTACTTTCATATATCATAATTTTTCTATTATACTAACCTATACCAATCTTTAATAGTTTTTGAGATAAAAAATAAAACGTGTGTAAAATTGACAAAAACATGATCGTGAATAAGCATTGGTAAAATCATGAATTAAACATTTTTAAAGTTGAAATTTGGGTTATATGTTACAGAACGACGATATTTATATTCGATCTGTCTAAATAAGCCGATTGGATATTACACAGCGAGAGCAAAAATATTATTTATTTGCGTCTGTTATAAAATTGCTCAAATCTTTGTTATTTTAAATTAAACCCTATGTATATTATTTAAAAAATCAAAAGTGTAATTAAATTGCTTTCCAACGATATATCATATTCCTGTACCTAAATATTCCGGTTTCTTAAGTAGAGCTATTTAAAAATCAATAATTTTATTATTATAGTTTCATTTCAAGAATTTCCTTACCATGACGATTTTAGAAATTTAGCACGTAAACTCTAACTGATACTTATAAAGTTTGAATATTTGTCATGGTAACGATTTTCTTTAAACGAAACTATTATAATAGGTATTATTATCTTTTAAATAGAAAAAAAAGAAACTACACAAAGTGTAGTTTTTGTTTTAAATTTTTGAAGTAAAGCTGGTCATTCTCTAAACATTGGGTAAAACGTCCTGGAAATTTTAGACATTCTGCATCTTTATTCATTTTAGCATTCATTTTTTCGTTTCGATTTATAATCTGTTTTTTTTTAAAGTTAATTTGTTTTGAGTAATTACTCTTTTTAATTTCTGTAACTTACCTCAAATTCTTCCTTTTTAGCGAAACGTGTTCTAATAATTTCTATACCTATTATTTTACCTATTACCTTATATACTCTTGGTTTGGGGGCAAATTCATTTTTTTGCAAAATATTATTTAGTACTATATTCTTTGGTAGACATCTTGCATTTGCAAATTTTGCGATCTTGAACGCTGATTACGAGCAACCAATCTACAAATTTCGCGATATCTTCTGCTGATTATAAGAGGAGTTAATACAGTTAAAATTTGGAATCACGGATGCTATTTACTAGACGGATTTGCGA